GCTACTTTTGCCACATCAATCCATGATGTGGGAACCCTTGCCTATTTAACACTACACTTGGGCCTCGGTGTAGCGTCACTTGTACACTTCTCGCTATATTCAGGGCCTTCAGGCCATACAACATGTTGCTTTCAGGGAACGCTCTAGCATTAAAAAAGTAGCTTACATGAGGTTTAAATTTTTTTTTTATTTTTTGGAATTTGATGGAAAGTATAATTTTAGAAAATTTTTAAAATGGATTGAAACTTAGAAAACTTCTTTGAATGTTGTAATATGGGTGACTCCCAATGAAATGAGTTTAGTGAATCAAAATTAAGGGGCATGCTTAATATAATTAGTGAAGTATTGCTGCTAAATTTATATGGGTTGATATGAGACGTCAATTTTAAAAAAATAATATTTGGTGGGGAGGTGCTTAAAAGGTTTCTAGGATTTTGGGGTGGAGTTGGATGGGTTAAAATTGGTGGAAGACTACGGAAGGTTGCGGCTAGTTTTATGTTTTGAGGTAGGTTTATGATTGAAGCTTTATGAAAATGGATGACTTATATTTCTTTGGTGAAAAATATAAGAAGCTCTATATTTGAATTTTGGGATGTTAGCTACTTGATGTTGGTGTTTTTTACGTGAATGGATATGCTGTTAGAAATTTATGAATATTATTTGTAGACGACACAATAAATGAAAAACAACAGTTGTGATTTGGTGAGGGGGAGATGGCTTTGTTTTTGCAGAGGCTGAGGGGTCTGAAGTCTTGGGAAAATTGGGGACGTGTAAGAATACAAAATAATAGAGAAAAAATACATTAGGTTTTATAATCTTTTGTTGAGGTTGATTTTCAACTTAATTTAAAAATTGGTAGCATACTAACACCTCGCTGACACAAATTTTGTAATTGATTAAAACTATGTTTTTTATTTAACCATTTACGTGAAAAGGTTGGAGTAGCTCCAGTAGAAGATAAGATTAGAGAGAGTCGCCTTAGATGATTTGGTCACATAAAAAGACGGCCTTCCAATGACCCGGTTAGGAGAGTAGAGGTATTAGATTTGACTTGTGTTAAGAAAGGTAGGGGTAGACCTAAAAAGACTTGGTTAGAAAATATTAGAAATGACCTTTCTTTATTAGATTTAAACGAGAATTTGACTTTTAATACGACACAATGGAGAAAAAAGATTCATGTAGCCGACCCCACGTAGTGGGATAAAGGCTTGATGTTGTTGTTGTTGTTGTTGTTATGTGTATACTAGATACATGAAGAGCTATTAAGGAGTAAACATAAATACAAAAAATTTCTCCAAGAGCTATTGTGGTTGGTCTCCTCAAGGGTCCTTATTTTGAAAACTATTGCAAACTACTCCAATCATGAGAAATCCCATGAATCTATGATTGTAATCATGATTCCTCAATTAGGGTGATCAAATAGTTTCAAAAAGAAAGTTCTGCATTTAAAATTCTCCCTTTTAAAACTCTCCCTTCTAAACACAGGTATCGCCGACCACACAATTTAATGAAGGAGAGTGTGATAAAACAAAAAGGAAAATATAATATTGATAAAGCTAGATTTTGACCATCCTTATTTTGGAAGGAGATTATGCTCATTATATGGAGATCTTTTCATTATTTTTGAGGTCTTGACCAAGCTTTGATTGGGGACTTATTTTGAATGCTTTGTGACCTTCAAATCTTGCCGATTGAGGGAAATGTTGAATTATACAAGAGTGAAATTGAAATCCTGTCTTCCATTGGGTCTTATGGCTTGATCTTCATATGATTTTTCCATAACGGGTGATCTTCATGCTTGTGATGAGTGGCTTTACCCTTAGAGATAGGATACGAAATGAGCATGTACTTGAAAAGGTTGGAGTAGCTCCAGTAGAAGATAAGATTAGAGAGAGTCATCGTAGATGGTTTGGTCACATAAGACGGCAGCCTTCCAATGACCCGGTTAGGAGAGTAGAGGTATTAGATTTGACTTATGTTAATAAAGGTAGAGGCAGACCTAAAAAGACTTGGTTAGAAAATATTAGGAATGACCTTTCTTTATTAGATTTAAACGAGAATTTGACCTTTAATAGGACACAATGGAGAAAAAGGATTGATGTACCCGACCCCACGTAGTGGGATGAAGGCTTGATGTTGTTGTTGTTGTGTGATCTTCATGCTTATAGCCATTTTTATTCTGCTATAAATTAATATTTTCCTTTCAATGAATATTATGGCTAGTTGCATCACCAATTTAAGAATTATAAATAAATTGACTTTGATGTGTTTGAATGTTATGTAAGGTTGAAAGGTTTTGCAGCTAAATATTATTTTTATAATAATTTTATATTATTATAATATGTTAAATTAAAGGATAATTTAAGTTTAATCTTACTGAAAACATTGCAAGAAACTTTATGTAGAGATTTGGATGTTGATGAATATTACAATTTCCATCTTGTTAGAACTAATACAATTGTGCCAAATATTCTTGAGGAATATGCAGTTAAAATCTCCTCTAAAGCTTGTTAAAGTCATCACAAAAATATGAAAATCATGTATGATAATATGGAAGAAACTGCATGTCATGAATTTTTTTGGCGATGAATTAGATTTCGAAGAAAATTTATTGTATCATATGATTTTTCTTCTGATGCTGAATTTCAATATGCACTTATGTTAGAATTTGTTAATGAACCCGAATCTTCACTTGAGCAAGAGCTGAGATTTTGAGTCTGAAATTAAATTTGACAATGGGATCATATTTAAATTTGAACCTTCAAGAGAAGTTGAACCTATTCAAATTTAAAATCAAACAAATAATGCTTGTTATAACTGTTCAATCAATTGAGCCACCTGACAGCATAAATCCTGATGGAGTATCTATCAAATTCATCATTAACTCTATGAATCAAGCAATCAATAAACAAGATAAAATCCACTGGATAAAGTTAAGTTATATCAATATTTGTATAGTTTGTTATTGAAGAATGCCTTAATTAAAACGTAAATTTAAAGTTCCATATGTTAGGTCAAATCTAAAAGCTTATAATTTCTTCATGACTTATTAAGCCATATCGATTAAATTTCTTTAAAGTGTTTGTTCATCCATGTATCATATTTACATGTGATTTGTCTTTTTTATGCCTTAGTTTTCCCTTTCACTAGGAATTAGTTATGTCTTTATTAATATATGGACACATTAGTATTTTAGCAATTTTATTGTTTACTTCATATACATTTGCATGATTTGCATGAAAATCATCATTTACCTAATTTGCATGGAAATGTTTGCATAAAATTGAATGTTAATTGTGTCAACTATAAGTATACTATTGAGTGCATAGTAGGAATGTATACTTCAAAATCAGATGATAAATAATGGCACTTCTAAACCAAAAAGGTTTTACAAAGAAGCCTTCATGAAATTCATTGCTAGAAAAATGACATATAAAATAATACAATTCATTGGGATGTATGCTTAGAAATTAAAAGTTTTGGTTCTATTTGAATTTTTAATATATCTGATTTGATTTAATTTTGAGGATTAGCCACCAATACTTTAGAATCTTTTTTATTTTCAATTTCTCAAGAATTTACATTCACCACTTTACTAGATAGTTCTAAACATCATGTTACAATAATAATCTTAGATGATGAGATTGTCTTCAATCCCGTTGGTTGAATCCTGAGGTATATGGTATATTGGCTTGCTTGACTTATTTTTGATGATTCCTGGATTACTTTGTTGGAAGCATATTTAATGCCTATATTTGGATACAGAATATATAGCCATTTTTTTTTTCAAGCCGGAAAGAATTGATGCAAACTGACATTAGGATTTTTTATTTTTTGCTTTAATTGATTTTATTTTAGCAAATTTTTTTATTTCTAGATTTCTATTTTACTTTCCTCCCCTGAAAAAGTTTCTTATGAGAATGGGGTGTCGTCTCTAAAATTTTGAATTCCTTCCCTGAAAAAGTTTGGTTGACAATGTTGGTTATAACCATTCTTTGGTTCTCTATGGGCTGGCTCATCTTAAGTAGCCACCTTGAATTTGATTGGATGCTTTAAATGTAATTAAGCAAGGCATCTATTGGCTTCATTGTCACTGGCCTTGACTTAAGCTTTATGTTCCTATTACTAATGGCTTTTTGGGCCATGTGTTGGGCTATGACTATTTGTTTGTGCTGGATTGTCTGCAGTTTCAATTAGTTTATTGCCTCTGTTATTATCCCAACAGTAAATTGTATATTTTTCGGCCATCCCATGACTTTTGTACTTTCCAACCCTTACTTTCGTATTGGGATGATCTGCATGGATAAGAAGCTTAATTATGATTATCTTGCAATAATTTTTCTTGGATTTTAGTTGATCCTATTTGGGGGGAATTTTGAGGAGATTTGTAGTTATAAATAAACATATATATGAGGCATACTAAAAAAGCCCATTAGTAATAATCACTTTAAAATTTTATGTTTTCTCTTTTAGTTTTAGTTTTGGTTAATATGGATTTTCTAGCTTGGCGCAATTGGTGCGATTAGTTATTTAGAAAAATTATCTTCATCGGCTAATTTCTGGGAATTTTTTCACTATTATTTTTTCCTTATGATTGTAATAATTCTTTTAATTCTATGATTGGCTTTGATATGCTTTTTGATTGTTGTTTGTTTTCATTAATCTTGAGTTTTCTATGTTAAATTTCTATTTGGATAATCATCAAATTATTATTTATGATTAATTTTCATTTTTTTTTAATTTTTTGGCAAAAAATTGTTTTTTGTATTTTAATTGATTGTTTTGTGAACAGTGAATTTGACTTTGGGTGTGTGATTTTTGTGTATTACACCTATTCATATTATGAAATCCTAGATAAGATGTCTTTCATCATACTTTCAAATTGAGTATCATTATTAGCGAATTATGCATGGTAAAATTTTTTCATTTAAAGTTTCTTATTTTGGTGCATATCATTCGGGCTTCAGCTTGATGCCAAATTGGCTTAAATTTAAAACCGAATGACAAACTTGACTAGGTAAGCATAATGTTGTATTCGGTTGAAAATAACTTGTTATATGTTTGGCATTCCAACTTTCTTTCTCCTTGTGGCCTTGATTGTAAGTACTAGCATTTTGTTGAAAGTTGCGTAATAGTTAGCTTTTATAAATTTATAAAATGAAGTACCATAGGATCAGATATAAGAAAGATCTTAGCATTGAAATAGCGATTTTGTATAGGTAGTGACATATGATGATCTCATCTCAGATAAATAGCATTCATTGCAATTACAATTTTCTAGCATTGTGCCTTCCTTGACTCTCAGTACTTGGCAAAACCCATTTTTTTCAGCATTGAATGGGCGTGGTCAGTTTCATGGACAACCTGATATCATCCTTAAAGTTGCCACATCATTTCGAATCAGGTCCTTTCATGTCACAGGTAAAATAATATTTGCAAATCAGCGGTTTTTTGGATACTTTTTCTGCTGTCATAAATGATATTGTTTCAGATGTGTATATCTTGAATGTATTATCTCTTGCAGGATCTAGTAATGCTATGGAACGAGACTACTATGAAATTCTTGGCATCTCTAATGATGCTACACCAGAGGACATTAAGAAAGCATTCCACAATGCAAGTTCTCTTTCTACATGTTATTGTTATGTTTTTCATGTTCTGTTGATTGCTTTTAATGAAGTATGTCAATATATAAAGAACTTCACAATGTTTTCATTATATTCTGTTTTCTCTTGGTTTCTTGATAATATACATATAGGGAATGCATTTCTTCTGTTTTATTTAATTCATTTTTATTTTACCAGTCTCAACTTATTCTTGCAGGATACTATTCGGCACATCAATAAATTATTCATAATTTTGCATAATTGCAATGGCCGTGCTTTGGTTATTTGTATTTTCCATTATGCACTATATGGTTGTATGAATCTCCTGTAGCTACTATATATTAAAATTCATATTTCTCTTTAATGATCGTTAGATGTTAGGGGGTTGACAAGTTGAAATTATCATTTCAAGTAGTAAAATTCTACATATTAAATCCCATTTCTGCTTGTATGACTCCTGTTTGGAGTTGCATTGCATGTAGGAGGCGCTATATATTAAAATCTTTTTTCTGTTTAATTATCATTCGATATGAGAGGGTTCAAAATTTGAAATTATCATTAGAAGCATCAACAACAGCAATGTCAGCCTTATTACCCTGCTTCTACATTCAGCTAGTTTTAAGGCCTGTATTTGTTTTTAGTTGAAGTTGTGTCAAGTCTCTTGCAACAACATCCAACCAATTAGCTTTATCCTATCCCTTCGCATGTGAACTAATGCTTCTTCCATTATGTTTTTTTTTTTCGTAAGATGCTAATGGCCATGTTTTCTTTAGTATAATCATTTTCCACTGTCCTTTCTAGTTTTAGCAACTAGATTAAGTTATTCTAATTATCAGATCCTGAAATAAGGCTTGCTAATGAGCATTCAGTGGACTGGAAGTAAATTAGAATAGCAAATATTTTTGATGTTTTGGCCCATAAATCTCTGTTATTTGTTTACGTACTAAAGTTTTATCAGAACAAAAGCATCAAGCCTTTATCCCACTATGTGTGGTCGGCTACATGAATTCTTTTTCTCTATTGTGTCATGTTAAGATTCAAATCTCATTTAAATTTAAAAAAGAAAGGCCCTTTCTAATATTTTCTAACCAAGTCTTTTTAGGTCTACCTCTATCTTTCTTAACATAAACCAAATCTAATACATCTACTTTCCTTACCTAGTCATCGGAAGGCCGCCATTTTATAAGACCAAACCATCTAAAGCTACTCTCTTTAATCTTATCTTCCACTGTAGCTACTTTAGCATTTTCACGTATATGTTCATTTCATATCCTGTCTCTAAAAGTAAACCACTCATCCACCCGACCATCCTCATCTCTGCAACACTTAATATTATGCTTCTCTTTTAATGACCAAAATTTTGCACCATAAAGCATTGCAGGCCCACCATCATCTTATATAATTTTCCCTTTAGTTTGAGGGGGACTTTTCTATCACACTACAAGCCTGGTGCATTCCTCCACGTCAACCATTCAACTTGAATTTTTCTAATAATATCCTCATCTTTTTCACTATCACTCTGAACAATGGACCCTAGATATCTAAAACGTGTGCTCTTATTAATGACTTGATCGTCCAAAGTCACAAACCCTCCACTAGATCTATTACTACTAAAATTACACTCCATGTATTCGGTTTTAGATCTACTGAAACAGAAATCTTTAGACTCTAAGATTGACACAATAATTCATGTTTACCTTAAACTCCCTCTCTAGTCTTATCAACAAGAAGAATATCATCAAAGAAAACCATACATCAGGGTACAACTTCTTGCAAATGTCTAGTGAGAACATCTATGACTAAAGTAAAAAGATATGGGCTCTAGGCTGATCCCTGATGTAATCCACTAGAAATAGGAAAATACTTGGTCAGACCACCTTGTGTTTGAACACAAGTAACACCACTTGCATACATATCCCTATTGACTTGAATATACGCATTATTAACTTCTTTCTTTATTAGAACTTTTCATAGCACTTCTCTTGGAACTTTATCATATGCTTTCTCTAAATCAATAAATATCATATGAAGATCCTCCTTATTCTCTCTATGCTTCTCCATCAAACCTCTCAATAAATGTATAGCTTCCATAGTAGGCCTACCCGGCATGAATCCAAATTGATTTTGGAAAGCATTATTATCACGTCATAACCTATGCTTTATAACTCTCTCCCAAAGTTTTAAAGTATGACACATTAACTTAATTCCTCCATAATTCACACAATCTTGTGCTTCACCTTTATTCTTAAAAATAGGAATCAACACTTTCATTCTACACTCATATGGCATCTTTTTAGTCTTCAAAATAAGATTAAAAAATTTAGTAAGCTAAGAAATTTCCTTCATCTCCTAAGCATTTCCACACCTCTATTGGAATATCATTAGGTTTAACAGCTTTTCCACACTTCATTTTCTTCAAAGCCTCTTTTAACTTCGGTTTTACTTATATGCTGATAAAAACTCATTTTGGATGTAAATGTCACTAAAGTCAATCATATTCTCATGATCTTCATTGAAAAGTTTAAGAAAATATCTCATCCATCTTTTTTTGAATATCTTCTTCAAATAAAAGTACTTTTTGATTTTTATCCTTAATGCACTTCACTTGGACTAAATCCTTATCATTCCTATCTATTTGTTTGGCTAACTTATACATATATCTTTCACCCTCCTTAGCGTCTTATTTATTATATAAATTTTTAAAAGCTAAAATCTTTTCATCACATATTACTAAAGTTTTATCAGAATAGAATAAAAATTGTAGCAAAATGTTAGTGCTTTACTTGTAAGGGAATATGATTATTAAAGCTTAAAATTAATTTCAGCTATATGTAACTCTTGTTATTTAATCACACCACTTAACCACTCCCCTGCCCTGTGCCCATTAATAATATTTACCACCTTACTTTTTCTATCCTTTATGTTGAAAGCTTCTCTTCTCGTCCATATGTGCGTTCCCACCTTATATTTGTAGTTTATTCTTAGCCATGGTCTTTGGCATGTGCCACTAGGGGTATAAGAGAATCCAAACAATTGGTGGACAGACATTATGACACTTACGCTGTAACTGTCATCACTTGAATGGATGTGCTTAAATGCTGTTAGTAAATGGTACAAACAAGCCAAGGTTGACATTAGTCTGTCTATTTATTTTAGTCCATGTTCTTCTCATTTCTCTTTTACAAGTTTCTTTTTTATAATATGATATACTTTACCGATCATTCGATAGCTTAATTATAGCTCTTCTTCTGGCGTCATAAGAAGATGCTTTCTTAGAACATTGTTTAAGTTTCTTTTTTAACTTTAGATTAAGTTTGCTGCAGGGCTTTTGTTAGTGGTTTGCTTTCGTACAGCATGTTACTTTATAATTGATATGCTTGTTAATGTTATGTTGTTCAACTCAACTCTCAGTTACAAGTTCAAACTGTCTTTTTAATTCTTGTCATTGATTCATGGTTAACTCTTGATCTAGGCTGGAACTGAATGAAAATAACAAAACCATTTTGAGCAAGTTTTTTAGAGTTTGAGTCAAGCTCAATTGATCTTTAGGAAACCATTATTTGCATCGGGGTGTAATAGCTTTATGCAGGCTTCTAACACCCATGTACATAGTTTTATGGTAAAGGTCGCTATTCCGCTGTGTTGGCAATTTAGTGTTTGCCTCAGGAAAAGTCGCTTGACAATTTCTCTGCAATTTTTTTTTTTGGCATGTTGTGCATCCATTTTTCATATTTGCAATGGCGATGAAACATTTTTTTTAGTGTTGTTGCAACTGCTTCAGCTCAGACATGACAATAAATAGGCAGAGTTTTGGTTTTTAGGTTTTGTAGATCTTGTGAATAACGAATGAGAGATAAATATGCTGTTAATCTGCATTTTTGTCATTATAAACAGCTTGTATAGAGTGGCTTGCAATTAGTGCTTGCTATCTCTCTGATGAAATTCATAAGGACCATGGTGTGAACTATACAATCATGTGGTTATTCTTGATGGTCTAAGATTAGCTTTTGTAGGCATGCAGTCCTATCCGGATAGTAAAACTTTAGGATGGATATAATAATATGATTTAATGTTGGTTTTCTCTCATGCATTAATTCTGTGAGGTATAAGTTTTTTTACCCTTGAGGTTGGTGAAATAGCTTATGAGTATTCATTAGTTATGGAACTTTTGTTTTTCATAATAAACTTAATTTTCATTGTAGTTAATGCAATTTTTATGTCTTTTTATCCTTTTGATTAGCTCGCAATTTGGATTATATACTTGGCATGATCACTAAATGCGTTCACTTTGTGATAGATCATTGCTTTGACTCTACCACGCTCATGTTTGCCTAGCCCATCATGGGATCAAGGTGCAAATTGTAATGCTATTTTCCTTTTCATTGTAATGTAGTGCATATTTTGTACTACATGGATTTATATGTAATTTGTGATATATAGATTTGTAGTGCTATATCAACTACGAGCTCCATTATGCAGAGTAAAAAAATAAAAAATGAGCTCCATTATAAAAAAATATTTTCTGTGATGAACCGTTTGTGTTACATATAAGAAACATCACTTTAAATTGTTATCTTCTAGAAACATCAGTGGATACTCTAGGGCTCATTACGATAACGTTTGAGGCGCTAGGTGATGAATACTATAGTGTACTAGTTTATGATGCTTGGTTGAGTTTCTGCCTCTCAAGAATAGAAATAGCGGCATGACAATTTGTAGGGTACGACTGATTTGTGATGTGTCTTGCAATTATTTGGTAAATGTGAAAATTTGTCACATGAAAAATGACATATTTCTGTAATTTTGTTTTCAACTCTTTTAGTTTGGTGTTATAACTAGGATTATGCCTTCCAAGCGGCTCTCATCTACAGCCCAGGGCACTTTAAGCTGTTACACCGATGCATATATTAAATAATAGATTGTTTTGATTTGTTTTAATAAATTTTCTTCATAATCTACATGATAAAATCTTCTCTTCTGTGAAGCTCTCTCTTTTTTAATTTGAAAATTTTCAAATGTGCTGTCAGTGCTGATTACAAAGATTGTGCTCTGCATGGGGATGTTTCCCTTTTTTTGTTGTTCAAGGGCACGTCTTTTCCTTTAGTTCTTGTAAAATTCCTAATAAGCTGCCGAAAAATTTCTTTCATTGTCCTTGAAATGAAATATATTTTTTAACATTTGAGGAAGATCACCGTGAGCAATCTTTGCTATTTTTAATTTTTTCGTGTGCATTTTTAGTTCATTGCTTTCATTGTTTCAAATAAATTAAAATTCATACGCAGCTTGCCAAAAAATATCACCCTGATGCAAATAAAAATAGTCCTGCAGCAAAGAGAAAGTTTCAGGAAATTAGAGAAGCTTATGAGGTTAGTTCTTTTTTTTTTTACAAATTATTAGTTGTTCTCTTGTTTTCTTGATTACAGTCACTATATTACTTTTCTAATATGCTATGAATGGTGTATTTCAGACATTGCGTGATCCTGATAAAAAAACAAAATATGACATGGTAACTTATCTATACCATTATTGGCGAAATCACTTATCTTTTATCGCGGTCTACTCTTTTCAGTAACTAATTGCTTGCAAAAGCATGTCAGTTCACTTTTTGTTATTACTTTTTTTTTGGCGAAGTTTTGGGAGGTGCGCTCTAGTGTGTTATATTGATAAGAACTGCTGTCGTAATGGAAGGGATTCTCTAATGGAGCTGAGAGTGTATCATATGGTGGTGAGGATACGGTCAAGTACAAAAATGCCTATCATGATCCTTTCTCTGCCACATTCTACAGAGTTTTTTCAGAGGTAAGTCTCTATGTTCGTAATGTCCTTATGAGTGAAGAAAGAGATGTGACTTCTTTCCCTGTCTTAGGTTTTTGAAAGTGAACGAGAGACATATGCAGCTGACATACAGGTTTGGCTTTTCTAGTGACTGAAAGTGATGATTAATAATTATTCAGTCATGTACTCTGACTTCTATTTGAGCGTTTCTAACTCCTACGGAACTTTAACAGGTTGACCTGAATCTATCTTTTGATGAAGCTGCCAAGGGCTGCACAAAGCAGGTTTCCTTGAAGGCACAAGTTCCTTGTGATTCATGCAGTGAGTCAAGACTCTAGTGTCACAGTCATCTCATTTTGGTGACGACCCCCCTCCTCTATTTCCCCCCCTCTTCTCTCATTTGTGTGCAGTGCACTCACAGAAGTGAGCGGCTTTTCATGGGGGAACACAGAAGTGTGCACGCAGAGACCCTACGAATGCATGCCCTCATACAAAACGAAAGCAACATGATCTCTATCATCACATAATTTCATCAATCATGAATGATTGGACGTGTTCTTTATCTTTTCAACTAATAATTTCCTGATTGATTCAGCATTCTATTTCATTTTTTAATTGATTGTTAAACTTATCATGAGTTTCCTTCTTTTGATCAATACCAACGCATCGGGTATGATTATGCTGGAATGGAATATTTTGTTAGCAACAACTGTTTTTTTTCCTTGTTTGTCTGGAAAACTTTGAACCATTATTCATTGATATTTCTTCTATGATCTAATACTTATGCCTTGGGTAGCTTTGCTAAATTCTTCTAGCAATTTCCAACCAGGTTTGTTTGCTCCTGTTTTGTTTTTCCTTCAGTTTTTTTAACATGAACAAGATCCCTTGCAATCTTTTAAAAAATATGTGAGAAGAATATTACATGTTCATGAAGGTAAAGATGATATATAATTTATAGCAGATACAAGCCCTCCTTGAATAGGAAGATAACATATTTTCCTAAGGCCATGAAACCACATAAATTAGGGAAGAAATAAGGAAGAATATGCTTGATAAAGCATGTTTTCATGTTCACAAAGATAGAAACGGTACACAATTTATAGGTGATACCAGCCCTCTTGAAACAGAAAGCAACAACAACAACATGAAGCTTTTATCCCACCATGCGGGGTCCACTACATCAATCCTTTTTCTCCATTGTCTTGTAAGAGTCAAATTTTCATTTAAATTTAATAAAAGGTCATTTCTAATATTTTCTAGCCAAGTCTTTTAGGTCTACCTTTATATTACTTAACATAGGTTAAATCCAATACATCTACTCTCCTAACTAGACCATCAGAAGGCCGACGTTTTATGTGTCCAAATCATCTAAGGAGACTCTAATCTTATCTGCCACTGAAGTCACCTCAACCTTTTCACGTATATACTCGTTTCACATTTTGTCTCTAAGAGTGAAGCCACTCATCCACTTGAGCAGCTTCATCTTTGCAATACTTAACTTAATTTTATGCTTCTCTTTTAATGGCCAACATTCTGCACCATAAAATATTACAAGTCTCACCACTATCTTATAAAATTTTCCCTTACGTTTGAGTGATACTTTAATATCACTCAACAGAGCTAATGCATTCCTCCTCTTCAACCATCCAACTTCAATTCTACTAATAATATCCCCGTTTATTTCATCGTCACTTTGAGCAATAGACCCATGATATCTAAACTTGTACTCTTATTAATGACTTGATCGCCCAAAGTCACAATCTCCCAAGAGATCTATAACTAAAATTATACTCCATGTATTCGGTTTTAGGTACACTCGAACGAAAACTTTTAGACTCTAAGGTTGATCTCCATAAATAAGTTTTCCTTTATTTCTCTCTCTAGTCTTATCAACAAGAAGAACATCATCAACAAAAAGCATACACTAGGGTACAACCTCTTGCTAATGTATAGTAAGAACATCCATGATTAAAAAAATATTATTAGAAGTTGATAATCGAGCACATAAGTTAGGGAAGAAATATTCAAGAAATTATACAATAAAGCATTGTAGTAATGTTGGAAATATATCTCATCTTATTAGGAATCGAAGGCATTGAGGACAATTGCCTTAGGCGTGATGGTAGGGGGAAATTTAGGGCTTGTGAATAGCTAGGTGGGTTCTTGTAGCATAGTGGAGCTGGAAGCTAGCTAGCTATAGTTAGATGTAGGATTTGAATGCAAAGACAACTACAACTTAGTGCTTGTAGATACAGTGAGCGATCAATGCCAGAGGAAATTATCAAATAAGATTGCAAGGGAGGATTTTCATGTTATTTCACTTACACATTCATAATAATACAAGCTAGGATATCCAACTAATTATATGGTGTTTTCTTGTATTTTGTTACATCTTATCATATCATGTAATGTGTTAGTGTGTCAGTATGTCAGGTAACTATCTTATAAAAGTCGCCGTTGTTTCCTGTCGATTTATCTTGTCAACTTATAACTTCCTATCTTGTAACTTGTATTATGTATTGGATTACACCTTAAACCTTTAATTTAAAGGAAGCTTGGCCCACCCTCTTGGACAGGGTGCCTTGCTCCAGCCAACCTAAATTATGATATGAAGTGTTTATAATTATCCAACCTTTATGGTAATTACACACATATGCCATATCATAATAATATTATATGCATCATATATCATATAAATATTCAATATAGACAACATGTTGAGCATTATTATATGCTATAAGTATACAGATCTTATTAGTAATGTACTTATGTCAGTATACATGCATTTCATATAGGTTGTACCAGATGAATGTCATGTCAAATAACTACTTTACTATGCATGTTGTGTATGCCATATCTAGACTAAATATGGTAATTTCTATTTTTATTCATGCTTTTACCTTAACTATTTCAGTAAAAGTTTGTACATGCAAATTTAACTAGTGAAAATTTAATATGATCATGCCAAAATGCTCAGAATTATATACCTATTACATATCAAAAGTTATACATTTAAAACTTGCTAAATCAATGATAATGCATTTTAATCAGATTTGAGAGAGAGAAGACTAAAATTCAAAATTATTGAAAATGAAAATTTGATTCGAGTTACCCACCACGATCAAAATACATTTCACAAATGGAAGGATGGACGGAAATGCCCCATAAGCGACTTTCTCTCTCCTTTCTCTCATCTTTCTATCCCCCCTCTTCTCTTCTTCTTATTCCTGGCTAAGCAACTGATGGGGATAACTTTGGGTTTGAGTGCTTTAATATTTGGGTAGTGGATTAGGATATTAAAAAAAAAAATCTTTTAGATGCAGCGCTGCAACACTCCTATTGAATATTCTAAACTCGAAATGCTGGCGCCACTGTGCTTGGGTCCCATGCAGATGTTCATGCTTGCAAGAATTTATATGAGGGTTATTTATAGGTCATTAATAAGTTCTTAATCATGTGAAAATTTTGGGTTACATTAGTATCCTTTACACATTATCATGATGCTCCTTTATGGGATTATTACATACTGACTAACAACATTAATGGGAAGATAAATGCCACTAAAATATCACATTTAGTGTGAGATTGGAAGATACATTTTTCAATGAATTCTTGATTCCTTTGTCAATTAAGGTAGAATCTTACTTAGTCCCAACTTTGATTAATAGACCATAGGTGTGCTTGTGGGTTTACACCAAAGCATACTACTTTTCCCTAGTAAGTCCAAGATGTATTTTTGTTGCGAAATGATGATCTCTTTGCTTGATCTTGCTATTTTTATGGCTAGGAAATATTTTCAAAACCGAAGTCCTTGATTTCAAGCTCTTCTGCTAAGAAATCTTTTAGCTTGTTTATTTCATCATGATTTCAGGTGAAGATAATATCATCAACATATTCGATCATGATGGAAATTTTAATTTAAAGTTATTTCTTGGTAAATAGTGTTGCTAGACCATCCTTGAGAGTACACTTATGCATTTTTAATCACCCTGGTGCATCTATTGAAACAAGCTCTTGGTGATTGTTTTAAGCTATATAGAGATTTTGTTTCAGTCTATAGACTTGGTTCATATTACTCTTTCTTTCAAATTTAGGAGGAATTCTCATATATGCTTCATCTCTAAATCTGCATTCGTAAAGGTTTTTCTTACATCTAGTTGATGTAGTGGCAAATCTTAATCAGAAGTAACATACCAAATTACATTGATAGTATTCACCTCAGAAACCGAGGCAAAGGTTTTCTGGTAATCAATTTCATAGGTTTGAGTGAAATTTTTTGCCCTTAAACTTTGTTTTGTATAGGTTGACACTTCTTTTACCTTTTTTTATTGAAGATCTATTTGTGTCTAGTAGGTTATGGGAAGATTTGAAAGGCTTGATGTACCATTTCTTTCAAGGGTTTACATTCTTCTTGAACTGCATTGTTTTATTCATGCAGTTTTTAGGCATTTTGAATAATATTTGTAATTTCTTGGACTTAGGAGACTTGTAATAGAGGCATAAAACTTTGGAGATAATCTATTATATGAATATAAGGAATGTTTATATGATTGGAGCAATTTCTTATGCTTTTCCTAATAGAAGCAATATGAATATTTCTATCATCTTTGGAACCAATGTTACCTTGCCATGTGAATTGACCTCAAGACTAGGGGTGTCAAAATCGGGTTATGGGTTGGGTTCGGGTCGAACCAGACACTGACCTGCTACTGTTTGACACTGACCCACTACTGTTTGAGACCCCTAGTCAAGACTTTTGCTCAACATTCTGTTTGGTTTAATGAAATGCTTTGCTCTACTTGGTGGCTGAATTTTTTTTTTCATTGTCTGGAATGAACGACATCTTTTTACCATGCTCGTTTTATATGGTCTTTGGAAGGCTGAGACTCAAGTAGGTTTTGAAAGGGGTGTCAATTGAGATACCAATAATGTTGAACAACAACAACAACAACAACAACATCAAGCCTTTGTCCTACTAAGTGGGGTCAGCTGCATGAATATTTTTTCTCCATTATGTCATGTTAAAAGTCAAATTCTCGTTTAAAGCTAATAAAGAAAGATCATTTTTAATATTTTTTAACCAAGTCTTTTTAGGTCTACCTGTACCTTTCTTAACATAAGTCAAATCTAATACCTCTATTTTCCTTACCGGGTCTCTATTTTATGTGGCCAAACTATCTAAGGCGACTCTCTCTAATCTTATCTTCCGCTGGCGCTACTCCAACCTTTTCACGTATATGCTCATTTCGTATCCTATCTCTAAGGGTAAAGCCACTCATTCAGCTGAGCATACTCATCTATGCAACACTTAACTTAGTATTATGCTTCTCTTTTAATGGCCAACATTTGGCACCATAAAGCATTTCATGTCTCACCACCATCTTATAGAATTTTCCCTTAAGTTTGAGCGGACTTTTTTATCACACAATAAGCTCGATGCATTCCTCCACTTCAACCATCCAACTTGAATTCTGCTGAAATTATTCCCATCTATCTCACCATCACTCTGAACAATAGATCCAAGATATCTAAAATGTGTACTCTTAGTAATGACTTGATCGCCCAAAGTCACAATCCCCACACTAGGTCTATTACTACTAAAATTACACTATATATATTCAGTTTTAGATCTATTCATGTGAAAATCTTTAGACTTTAAGGTTGACCTCCATAATTCAAGTTTACCTTCAACTCCCTCTCTAGTCTTATCAAATATCATCAGCAAAAAGCATATACCAAGGTACATCCTCTTGCAAATATACAGTGAGAACATCCATGACTAAAGCAAAAAGATATGGGCTTAAGGATGATCCTTGATGTAATCGGCTCGAACCAATAATGTTGGACTAACATCACAAAACATGTATTCATAATGAGAGTTAATGCTTTCGTCATGAATGTGAGTTTTGGGACGAATGATTACTTTTTGAAGAATTTTAACATCCATTGTAGTTTAAGATTTTTTTTAATATTGAGTAAATGACATTTGTGTCCTTATTAGTGAGTAGAGTGGCTAATAAAACACATTTTATGGCATTGGGTCTAGTTTGCTTCTTTGATGGGGGGAATATGCAAAAAATAGAGCATCTGAACATTTTGAGAGGAATGAGGTAGATCAGTCTATATCTGGGATGCGTTTGGGTGAGAGTTTGATAAGAAGTTTTGATTTTAGGATTCTTGATGGCATATAATTAATGAGATAGGCAGTAGTATGGATGACCTTATCTTAATAATATTTTGGAATGTTACTGGTGATCATAATTGATTGTGCAACCTCCAGAAGACATTTATTTTCCTTTATGCGATCACATTTTGTAAAAGAGCATGAAAAAAATAATTTTGGTGAACAATTCTTTTTTAAGTATGCCCCAAAAATGGAATGAAAATATTCATTCCATTATTAGTCTTGGGGACTTAAACCCGCATTTTAATTGAATCTTTATAAAGGAGTGGAATTTTTAGTAAGTGGAATTGTGTTCAAACTTTTCTTTTACTAGAAATATCTGAGTGGTTATAATGTTGTCATCAATGAAACTAGAAACCACCTAGAACTTAACAAGTTGTTTGTTTGAGATGGGCCTCATATGTCGCTATGGATTATTGCAAAATATTAGGAGGTTTGAAATGATGACTACACATGGAAGTTTGAATGTTTTTAGTTAATTAACAAGTGTCACACTCATCGTTTAGATTATAAATATTGTTAAAAAAAAAGTGTCATACTGAAATATCGTAGGATTTATGTTGATGAAAATGGAGGGGAACGATTTTTGTAGATAAATAAAAGTTTGATGACTAGGAGAATGTGCTACAACATGATTGTGCTTTAATTAGAGGAATATATTTATTGAACATGTTTATCTTTCCTTTTAGGAATTGCTTCATAATTTAGAAGGTAGAGATCAGTATTTTCCCTTGCTTTGCTAATTTTCCTTATCATATTGCTATCATGAAATTCACAATGAGTGGAAAAAAGATTAGTAATACAATTTATAACTTTGATTATTCTGCTTATTAATAATAACTTGTATGAAAGTTTATGAACCAAGAGAACCGAGTTAAGAACTAGAGAGCTAGTGATATTAATCGTCCCAATTTTAGTTACTTGATGTTGAACCATAAACAGTTTTACTGTATAGTCCTTTAGACATGGATAAAGGATTTGAATTTAGGGGCATCTACTGTCATATTATCAGAAGCTCTAGAGTCCACTGTTCAAGATTATGTATTTCCTTTTTGGAATTTAAGGCATTCAAGACCATAACTTTTTAAGCAATTACATTTATAATAATTTTTAGTGCAAAATATTTAGCTTGAATGGGATAATTGACGCTTGAAGAAGGTTTCTTGGATACTAAAATTTCCATGAGATCTTTGATTTATGGTAGGAGGCGGCACTAAAGGTTGTTATTCTTCCCAAGGCCATTTTGTGTCGACCATCATTATGGTTTGAATAAAACATTCTTCGAGGAAGGATGAGTTGACTTAAAATTCTCATAGATTGTGGAAGATAGAGAAATGTGGAAGAGAGAGAAAAGAGATGGATGAAATATATAGAAGTATGGCTCTGATACTACGTTAAAATAAAGGAGAGAAGAATGCTATATATTTTCATATTCACGAAGGTAGAAAGGGCACACTATTTACATTTGATACAAGCCCTCCTAGAATAGAATGGCAATAAGATAATTACCCAATGCCATGACTGAGTACATAAATTAAGAAGAAATAAGGAAGAAAGTTTACAGCAAAGCATGATACTAATACAAAAATAACAATATCAAGTCTTTATCCCATTAGGAATCGAAGGACTGGAATATAGCTGCCTTAGGCATGACTATAGGGAGAAATTCAGTGCTAGCGGACAGCCAGGTGGGGCTCTGTAGTTTGGCGGAGAGTTTGGATGGTAGCTGGGTGTGCAGCAGGATGTGGGACTTGAATGTTGGGACAATTTTGGCTTGGTGTTGACAGATGCAGGGAGTGATCAATGCAGTTGTTAGAGCAGATTGCAAGGCAGGATTCCCACATGATCAAAACTTTGACTTACATATTTACTGATTTACTTCTTTGTTGTCAGGCCTCCTGTCTTGGCATGTATTTCCTTTTAGATGCCAGTCTTCCGCATTGTCTAGCTTTCCTATACTCTATCTAGCTTTTTAGTTTTAACATACATATCCATACCATTTCAGTAAATTCTCTGTTGTTGCTATGCGCCTATATCTGCTTCTAGGCCCTTGTAGCTGCCTGGAGGTTTTTAATCTTTGGAATATTTGTTATATGATGATACCCTATCAGATTAATATATACCTGAAAACACCATAGCATGTATAGTTTTGAGCACACGCATCCATAAAATTTGATATCCACTGATATAGAAATGTTAGATAGTATATATTCTACTTTGTTCTCCCTTCTAGAACTTTTGGCCATTGATTATACTGCCATGAATCTGGAATTCGTAGCATGTAGCTTCTTATGTGGGTCATATGCTGGGCTAGAAATGAAGAATTACTGGATTTATTTTTTCTTGTGATATGCAATAGAAGTAATCATTGTTCAGCATGGAGACAACCGATCAAGTTTGCATTTTCTTGAATTTGAGTATAATTATAGTTTTATTTTGGAGATTGTCATATGTTCAGAAAACAATTGCTTTCAATTTTTTATTTTAAATTTTTGAATGCCATTGTCAAATTTTGGTATGCAGATGGAAGGGGTCATCCTGTCAATGCAAAGTTGTCTATGTGTCCTAATTGCAGAGGTACTGGAAAGGTAAGTATTTATTTTAGTTTGCTAAGGAATGTGGCATGATTCGTTGAGAACTTATAGTTGGATTAATTTATTATTTATCTCTTGGTTCAGGTTATAGTTTTTCCGTTCACATCCACCTGTGGTCCTTGCAAAGGATTTGGTAGAATAATTAAGGTTCGCATGCAAAAAAAGATTGTATGGTTCCTTAAATTTTTTGTCTTATGCTGATTGTTAACATACCTGTAGGAGCATTGCATGTTATGCAAAGGAGTAGGGGTTGTTGATGGTGTTAAGAGTGTTTACGTTACCATTCCTTCAGGTAACATATATTTTTTAATTCCACATTAAAGAAAAATCCCTTGCAATTGCCACTAGTAATTAACTTCTTATGGGGGTGAATAGATTTATATTTATAGAGTTGCTTTCATTTTCTTACTGATAAATCTATTCTTTAAAGGGGGTCATAACGAGCAGTAGTGAGAAGATCAAGGGTGTCAGGAGAGGGATAGAGCATCGAGAGTGAGAGAGCTCTTTGGGTGTTGATAGATTCGAAGATGGGCAATAAAGGTCAATAGAGCATAGAGTTGTTGGAATTTGTGTGTGAATGGGTGAGGGAGAGAGAAAAAGGCTGGCTTGGCTGCTGGAGTTACTGTGGTTATATCATGCTGAAATGTGGAGCATTATCAGGAGCGGAAGTGCTGGAAGATGCATTATTAGAAAGAGATTGGAGCTTGAATAGGGTTATTATGGACTTGTATTACAACGAGTGTTATGACTTTTGCGATCATTGATAGGACATGTGGCTAGAGTGGTAATATCATTGTAGCTTTGATGTAGACACATAAGAAGAAATTGACGCAATGGATAGAACTTAAAACAAACTTTATTAAAATAAAAGCAGACAACTAAGACTTGACATACACAACAAGAAATATTAGGAGAAATAAAAAAGACGCTATCCTCAGACAACTGTTAGAGCGGGTTCCTCACATGCATCGAATTGTAGGTTAAATAAGAAAAGTTCATAAGACTAGCAAACCGATGGTCCACCACTGCAAGATTGTCCAAATGCTCCCAAATCAACCAAAACACGACACCCTAAAGTTGCTTCACTGTTGAGAAGAAGGATACAGATGGAGTGGCAGTTGCGGAGAGACGAAGAGGTTAGAAGCCCGAGAAGAAGGGTGGAAAGAGCCCGCAGGATTTCCGGAGGGGATGAGAAAGAAGGGTGGAAAGAGCCTGCAGGATTTCCAAACAAACCCGCAGGTTTAATAGCAAATATACTCACAAATATCAACTTTACTAACTTTCAAACATTACATGTCCCCCATATATATAGGTATGAAAGGGAATACAAAGAGACACTAACATTAATTTTAACACAAGAAACTAAGCATCAAAAGCATTAAACCCAAATGCTTTTCACGGAAAAACATCCCAAACCTAAGAACCGAAGTGGTAGCCGCAGGAGCCAAGGAGGCCGAGCGGGAACCAAGGGGGCACAATCAAGGGAGGGAGCATAGGCACGGGAAACCAGCAGCCGGCCGGAATCCAAGGGGGGAAATGCAATGAAACCATGGAGGAAACCAAGGAGTCATGCATGGGAATACAAAACACCTATCTTGGGATTCCAAAAGCCATTTTTGGAACCCCAAGAGACATCATAAAAGAAGACTTTAAAACTCTAAATAACATTTAATAAAAAGTAAGATAATAAATGAACTAAAATGTTAGCTTATAATGAGCTAACCATTAATTCAATAAATGAACTAAAGTCCAGCTCATAAATGAGCTAAAATTTCTGCTCAAATAGTAGACTCAAGGGAAGCCAAAAATCTAATTATTTTTGACATGAGTTGACCCCCCTTTTGTCTACATCAAGCTTGCATGGCGTCTGAGTATGTTGGTTTCTTTTTTGTTGTTGTTGTAGTAAGCATATCTTCTTTAATCCTTAACACTGATGGAAGCTTTTTTTTTGGAATGGGGGTATCTACCTACTGTCACTCCAATGGGAGTGCTTGGCTGCGTAACTAATCCCTCGGCGGAACCTAGCGAGGCCATCCACGGGCATCGGATCCACACTTGCTTTGCCCTAATGATGGAAGCTTGATGAAAATTTTTTCAGAGCAAACAACCTCAAGACTCCTATGAAACTAAAGGACCTTAAGACTGAAGAAAATATCACAAAAAAATTTACAAGAAACTGATACGGTTCTTCCTGAACCGATCAAACTGGTCCCGCCTGGGCCGGTTCAATTCTATAGGAGACGGGCTAAGCCGCCTCCTTAAACAAGCCGCCAAGGCTTGTGGGCCCCCCTAGGGCGGAAATTAGAGAGAGGGAAGGGGGCGGCTAGCACATTGGGAAATCCTTTTGAATTTGGTTTATTCTAGGAAGGTTTTTATTGGCTTTTTATTAGGAAGTTGTATTTGAAAGAAGAGGGAGGCTAGGGTTAGGGCAGACATGCTTTGAGTTGTTCTCTTGGAGTTTTCCTTGGTGTCTTGGGCTGTAAACTCATTGTCTGGAGATTGGGAGAGAACGATCCTCCTCTCGAATTGAGGATCAATTGTATCTTGCTTTGTGTTTGCTTTGCTTTGATTCCATTATTATAATCTATCATTTTGGATTGATTTCATCCAGATTTTTGCATTATTCTTGCTGTTTTTTCCAATCATTGCTAGGGTTGCTTGCGAACTCAAGTATTTCCTCTTGGATTACTGGTGAACTCAAGTATTTCCTATCAGAAACCTCTTATGGTAACTATAAGAACTTTGCTGCTGTAATGAATTCCCTCAATTTTATTATCCACTATCCCAATCAAGAAAGCTCCGTTGTAATGGCCAAAAGCCTGCATCACTTCTGATGAATCCCCTTCCACAAATTCAATCTAACGTATTGTTGTCTTGAGTCCTTGCTTCAAACAATTTGTCTTAAAAGTCTGGTTGATGGGAAAAATGCAGTCACCTGAATATTGCAAGAACGATTCAAGCAGGCTAATGCCTTAATAGAAAGAAACAATGCAGAAGTAGAGAGGAAAAAAGGACAGCAGAGAACCTGTGGGAAAGGCCTTCTTTGAATTATGAAATCATTGCTGCTGTTTCCACAATGTTAGTGGTTGTTGTTCTATGTTCCCAGAGGTTTGAACGAGCACCACGCTGCAATGAATACCTAAACAAGTGGGTCGATTACTGTTGAAATAAATGCAAACTAGGTATGAAATTCCAGAAAACAGAAAACCTGAACAAGCCAAGATTCTTTCTCTTCAATTGCTTTCCCCGAATCTCCAAACTTCAGGGTAAACAGCTGCAGCTACTCCTTTTTCTTGAAATCTTGCAAACTTCAGTCGGTCGGTTCCTCTTGCTTCTGATTGGACCCTGTGTTACATTCTCTATTTTCCTGTCAATCTAAGTGAAAACTTCCAAGCCACTTTGTCTTTTCTCTGTTTTATTTATCAAACACAGACTCAAACAACTGCTATCATGTGGATAGACACTGGAACCCATTCCAGAAGCCAAGGAAAGCTGTGGAAATGGTACAGGAGATCTCGTGATTAATTTTGGTGGAGTCTCGGGCTTCATTACCATCTCCAAACCTCTCCAAAAATATAGAATGCTCCCTAAATTAGAACAAAACCTGTAGCTAAAACTCTTCAAAAAGCTGTTTTCTAACTGGATGGGGTATAATTAGGCTAGCCTCTCTTGATAGCACTTAGATGCTCCTTATTACAAGACTACCCTTATAAAAGAAGGAAGGGGAAAACATATCCAATAATAAAATTTAATTATCAAAAGGCCCCTAAAGACTAAATAAGAACTTTGACAGTCAACTACAAAGATTTGTGTTTGTTAATTCTATGTTGTTTATCTAATCATTTCATGTCTTTTATCTTATTTATAGTCCTTAGTTACATCTCGTAAAATCATTATTACTTCATTTGTCATCTTTATACCATTATTCTATTGTTCATTTTTGTAATTTGGTATAAAATCTTGGTCAGGTACTGTTTTGGTCGGCTTTCTTCTGCATATCTGCCTCTGGTTGAAAAAGTTTGTCAAACAATATGTTAAGATGAAAGTCTTGACTGCCAATCTCAGATATTATCATAAGATTAGTTTACGTTATGACAGTACAAAGGCTTTAGACTATCTTGATTCATTGATTGCTCATTATCCTGGCATCCTTTTCAAACTGAGGCTTCATTTGGGATGGCTTTCTTACTGCTTCTTAAGCAGCTTTCTAGTACAAAAATTTTAATTATTATGTTTTCTTGACTTTAGTTTCTTTTCTTTTACTATTATTTCAATACAATTGGTATAGGTGTTGATTCTGGTGATACAATTAAAGTGCCAAAAGCTGGAAATCAGGGTAGGCGGGGTGTTCTTCCTGGAGATCTTCATATCAAGCTTCAGGTGTTATCTCAAGTTATTATTATTTATTCATTTATTATTTTCAGGTGATTTTTGGTATTTGTTATACCATTGTAAGCGGTTGTAAGTCCCTGCTTTTACGTTACTTCAAGATTTTCCTTTATTATTGAAATTAGGAAAAAATGGATCTCTTGGTCAAGAAATTCAAGTGTGAGTAGAATCAATTGAGATGAAAATATATGAATATTGAATGTTACTGATTTATTATTATTTTTTTCTATTCTTTAATACAAATTTTGGCAATCACCTTGAATGCACAAAATATTATGAAATCATTTACAAGGATCTTTTAGGAGATGAACTTAAGATAGAATGTAATCAGTGGAGATAGAATTATGAAAATTGTGCAGTGTTGATTGTTATTTTGTTTGATAGTCATAACTTCTTTGATTTAAAATTTTGCAACTCTCTTAAAGTACAAGATAGTTTTGGACTTTCGAAGGAACCATGCTCTTGGCTTAGGGGTTTATGATAAGAAATACTTGTAGATCTCAAATATTTCCTATCAGTCTTCGAAAAACAGCGAGAATTCTCCATAGAAATCCTCACAAAACCACGAAAACAGTAGATAATTTTTATTATTTGATCAAAGGGAAATGGAAAATAGCAAGATGCCGCTAGAGCCTAAAAAATCTAAACCTAAGAGATATCAAATTTCAGCCAAATTCAAGATGCCCTAACCCTAGGAAAACCAACTATTTAATGCATACAATCCAAAAGGAAATTTCTAAACAGTCCCTGCATTCAAATTTCCCTCCTAACTCCCCCAAAAATCCTTCCCAAAAAGCTCCCTTGGACCCGGCGGTTTCTAGCAGCATGTAGGAGAGGCGGAAGAGTTTTGCCTCTATCCGCCTGAGCCGGTCCCGTGTGAACCGGCTGGACAGGTCCAATGGACCGCTCTAACAGTTTCCTCAACTCTTTTGGAGGTCTGAAACAAGCCAGTAGGATTTCACAAACTTGTTGAGTTGAAATTCCTTGTGATTTTTCTTGGTTAGTGAAATTAATGTGGGTTTATTTTGCTTATGAGGATTGAGTTTTTCTTAGGCACAAGCCCTCTTGACTAATACATCCATGCTTATAAGTGGAGAATACTTTCAATTAATGATTTTGATTGTGCTCAATGGTTTAGACCTGCTGTGCCAAAGTCTTGCACAGCCATTAGATATTACTCAAACTGAAGGTTGGCAAGCTAATCATAAATCTTTGAGCATGTCATCCTCATATAAACATGGGGGATATCTTGAAGTTAAGACCTAGAGTGTTCTATCCAAAAGGAGGCTTCAAGACTCGCATTCAAAAAGATCCGAGTCATACAAATAATGTTGTATAGCAAATGCTGATGATGCTGTTGCTCGATATTAGGGAAATACATCTCATAGAGATTGGCCGATGGAAGATCCTGGTGGCATCTAAGAAGGTCAGACCTCCATCTATACGATCCTTCATACTGTTAAGCATCTAAAGAATGTTGCAAGGAAACATTAATCTCCTCAAAATATTTGAACAAAAATGTCCTATTAGAAGAAGCTTGCTCAAAAATAAGAAAAATCTAGTTAAGCTTCCTTAATAAAATATTGGAAGCTTACTAATAGATCTCAATTGGAGCAAAAGAAGCCCAAGATCCAATCTTAGAAAATCAATGAACAAGAATGTCATGTTGCTTTGCTGGTTCGATAAACTCGACTGGCACATGAAAGTTCTCAAGCTTTGTTCAACATCGGGCACAATTTAAACACAACAAGCTTAACTAAATGAAACAAAATAACTCTTTAACAAACAAGCCTAAGAAGAGTCAAGATACAAAGATGACTTTAACTGTTGAATCCATAATGCATTTCCATTAGCTCAAAGTCCATCGGTCTAGACATGATTTTCCAAAGCTTATAAATCCAAGATTAGAGCTAACCCTGTGGATTTGAGAAGACTCTATATTAGAATTCGTATGTCCAGCTTTCTAAAAACTCTTTGAGTTTGAAGACCAAGCAAAGTGTCTCTTTTGTTCAAGAAGTTCAAGGGTCGACTTGATTAAGTTATTTCAACTAAACCAACCAGGGATAAAACTAAGTGCGTGGATCCAACACAATATGGTAGTGGAGTTCACGCTTGTATATATAATAGCTTAATAAGTCCTAGGATAAAACTAGGTTTTCCCCAACTCACAATCCCAAGGTCAGTACTGATCTTATAGATTTGACAAGCATAGCAACAAAATGCTGCAGCATATGTGCACATTATCTCACTATAGTAAAGGGATATACATCAACCATTTCAAAAAGTGCCACTCATGTTAAACCTTCAATAATGAATGCCTTCACCAACCATCAAATTTCTTGTAGTCTAATGGTTTCCTAGCTTTTGAAAGTTTGCACTCTGACATTGTTATGCACACGTTTATCTTTCTTGCCATTGAGTATAAAAGTGGATTAACAAAATACCACTTAAAGAGATTAAGATCGAATTTTAGTGAACCTCTTTCGAGACCTGATCATCAATAGATTTAGAGTATCACATCAAGCGTTTCAGGTAATGGTATAGCCTTTAAAAAGTATACAAATTAATTATTTTACTAAGCACATAATATTGATTAGTATACTCTTAATATACAACTTGATGGTTAATCGCCCAAGTAAAGAATTCAATATTACCTTTGCAAAGCTGCCTTATAAAATTCTTTAAAAATAAAAGAGAATTACATGATAAGCTAATAGAAACTTAATGGGTGTATGAATGTATCAAAAAACCTAACCAAATGTGGTGATCCAATCAACTCTTTGTTTTCTTAGGTTTGGAGATTTAAGTTCAAGCTACCCTTAATTAGTATTGTCCGAAGTTATGTCCTTGCTCAAGAAGAAACTATCGGTGTATAGTTTGAAGAACTTTAACCCCTTTGTGAAGTTCGACTCCACCCAACAAAATTTAGAAAACCACAATGCAAGGATAAGTGATTTAGTCCTCAAATGAAAAATGTATAATTCTCCATCACAACATTGATGCCAAATTCAACCCAAATTGGGAATGATCATTCATCTTTGAAAGACGGATATGAAGGGTGAGGCTACTTCTTGTTATGGAGGGCATAAGGCCCATCATTCCTATAGATGACCATTATCTTAGAAAGTATTATTAGGGGTTGACTAAGCCATCATGTAATCTTATCAAAGCCCATATGCCAAAGGTCGAGCTTTGCCATTACCTCAATAAACTCATATAGGTAGCCAAATTAGTTCTCATATATGATTTGACTCTATAAGTTTTAGGACACATCTAGACTAGAACTAGCGCCACAAGCTCATGGAACAATCCTATTTATATCATTTTATCATCCCATAATTAGAGTTTGAACATGCAAGGGTTTTTTAAATGTTTAACACTTGATGGTTTGAAATCAATCTAGTGATGATGGCTTGTCATGTAATAGCTAACTAAGAGAGTGTGGTTGAATTTGCAGCAGTGTGTCACAATGAAAGCACAAAAGCAATGAAAGCACAAAAGGTAGGAAGAATTTATGAGGCTTAAATATGGATGGGTTAAAAGTTAAATGGGAAGGTGCTAGATGAGCGCCAAAGGCCTGATTGATTGTTATACCACGATTAATTAAGTTATTTGGTGCTATTGAAGGGGCTAGCGTGAGGGTAATTTGCCAACGCCTATGTTATGCATGCTATGTATGTTTTGAATATTATGAATGTTATGCATGATATGTATCTTATATATGTTATGTGATGTGAGCAAAAATTTGGGAAAAGCCCCAAATTTTTGCGAGCAAAAGCTAAACTTCCTAGGATATAGAAAAAACATAAAATACTCAAAAACTTGACAAAATACAACTTTATATTATAAAAGGACTTTCAAACTACGCTTACAAACGTTTGACATAAAGACACCTTAAACACCTAAACTTGCTTTGCCTTGAGAAGAAGGATACAGGTTGGGTGGTCACTTGTGGATAGAAGAAAGAGATAAGGAGCCGAGAAGGAGGAGAAGCTCGCAAGCTTTCCTAGAAGAAGGAGAAGGGATGGGGACATAGCTCGCAAGCTATTCCCAAAGAAAAAACCCTTAGGTTTTCTTACTCAAAAAATTGGCACATAACACTCTCTTTTTTAATACAAAACATCTCCTATTTATAAGAAAAGAAAGAATCTAAACAACCATAGCACCTCCAACCAAATCCAATCAGATTTAGGGAAATGAAAGGCCAAAAGACATCACAACATCCCACAAAACTGCAATGAAAACAGGGATAAAGAAGCACGGGAAACCCAACTAGAAGTCACGGAAAGCCCAGCTAGCATGGGACCCGAAGAGCCAGCACAGGAAACAGGGCAGCACTTCACGGAAAAACAGCCAGGGGGTGAAGTTTTTGAGTATTTTATGTTTTTTCTATATCCTAGGAAGTTTAGCTTTTGCTCGCAAATTTGGGGCTTTTCCCAAATTTTTGCTCGCATCAATTTGGTATCAGAGCCAGGTTGGTATATCCTAGGTTATTGAGGCAAATTGTTGTATGAGTCTTGGTGTCATGTGAGTTTTTTTTTTTTAAAGTCATGAGTCATAGTCCATGCAATCAACCTTCGGAAGCCTCAGGACAAGATTCAAGGCAAACTCAAGCTTCATCAGGAGATGAATTCTTTCAACCAGAGGAGAATCTGATGTAGGCAAGGGGGGGGGGGGTCAAAACAAGTTGAGTTTTAAATTTGGTGAGCTTCTAAAATCAGCTCATTAATGAGCCTCTTCTACTTATTTAGCTCATTAATTGGAGAAATTATTGTATTTAAAAGCTCATTATAATCTTCTTAATAAATTAGCACAAGCTAACTTATTTTCAAAAATTGACTTAAAATCTGGATATTGGCAAATCCAGCTAAAAGAAGAAGATCGTTATAAAACAACTTTTACAGTACCATTCGGTCAATATAAATAGAATGTAATGCCTTTCGGCTTAAAAAATGCTCCCTCAGAGTCTATGAAGTATTAGAAGTTAGAAG